GCTCAGAAAAGTGAGTACAGGCTCAGGAAGGTGAGTGCGGGCTCAGGAAGGTGAGTTCAGGCTCAGGAAGGTGAGTGCAGGCTCAGGAAGGTGAGGGGCTCTCTGTGCTCTCTCCTGTGCTGAGTGTGGGTCCCCAGGGCAGCTGCAGGAGTTTGTGATCCTGCCAGGAGCAAGAGCTGGGCTTTTGGGAGGATGGAGACCTGAGTGAAGCCTTGGCTGTGGGACTGGATTCCCACCTGGGCATGTTCCTCTATCACCTGCCCTAGGTGACCCTGCCTTTGGACTGGATATCTCCAGAGTCCCTCCAGCCCCAACAATTCTGTGACTCTGTGGTGGGGAGCATTTCTCTGACAGATGAGCTGTCCCACCTCTGCTGCCAGTTGGAATCAATAAACCAAAGTGCCCAGTGCCTGCTGTGTTTGTAGCATGTGTGACCAAGGCACAGAGAGCACTGGAGATTGCTGGAAGAGCTGAGATGGTTGGAATAGCTGAGATTGCATGAACTGAGATTGCATGAACTGAGGTTGTATGAACTGAGATTGCTGTATGAAATAACAGGGCTGAGGGGAGCACGGGCCCAGGCTCTGAGACAGAAGTTTGCAGTGCAGTGCAGTCTCCAGGATTTGGGATTAAGCCGTGACATGAGAACGACACGTTAATCATAGAGCCTCTCCGGGGGTGGTTATTGACATTGAAATGAGCCTGATTTGTGTCTGGTCTGGGAATAGAGGGCCAGCACTTTCCCTCTAAACATGTGCAAATTGCAGGAGCTTGAATCAAGGCGTCACTTGTCAGGAAAGAGCTGCAGAGGCACCAAAGCACAGCAGCGGGCAGTTGCCTGTTGCTGTTTCTGGGAATGCTGAAACTGTACCAGCCATAACTTTGCTCCTTCTTCCAGGCCATTTTCTTTGGTGGGATTGATTTTTCCATCCGTGGGGAGGTGTGGCCCTTCCTGCTGCACTACTACAGCTACGAGTCCACCTCTGAGGAGAGAGAGGCACTGAGGCTGCAGAAGAGGAAAGAATACTTTGAGATCCAGGAGAAAAGGTAGCAGACCGTCATCATCCTCCCCTGCTCATCTTCCTTGGGGTGGGCTCACAGTGACACCTCAGTCTCTGCATCCTTTGCATGAGGAGAGGCTGGAGTAGAGGAGTGGGAGGGATGGGGAAGGAGGTGCTGGGCACTGCTGAGGCTCTGGAGCCAATGTCACAGAGCTCAGACATTTCCTTACCTGGGTTTTGGGAGCAGCCTTGTCAGAACCGCGCAGGGAAACGCCTCACAGTCAAGGCTTGGGTTAGAACACTGAAGGTAAAATTGGGATCTTATATTTCTTTATGAATAAAACGTGCATTAAAAAGGGGGATGAGAAGGGTTATGTAGTTCCAGAAGGTTGATAATGCAAGAATTGTGTGTTGTTAAATGGAGGTGGGTACATTGAAGCTGGAGGGGCACAGTACTGTTAATAATCAGGAGACAACCAAACCAGAGTGCTGAGTTCTGGTGTGCTGAGTTCCAAGGGGCAGTGGAGAACAGAGTCTGATGCTTCTGAAGTGTTTATTGCAGCGAACACATCATGTCACCCTGTTTATAAGCCAGGAGGCTCCTTCCAGTAATCCCCTGGGACAGACAATCCACTGTTCTGGGCAGACCTGCTGGTCTGTTATTCAGGTGCTGAGGAAACTCGGTACAGGAATAGTTTTTCTCTGCAAACTAAGACTGAAATGAGGCTTTTTGTTCACTGTGGCAATCACATTCCTGTCGTGGCTGCCCTGTGCTGTTGCTGTGTGGTTCCCAGGCTGTCCATGAGTCCAGATGAGCAGAAGGATTTCTGGCGCCAGGTGCAGTTCACGGTGGACAAGGACGTCGTGAGGACCGACCGCAGCAACCAGTTCTTCCGAGGGGAGGGCAACCCGAACGTGGAGACCATGAGGTGGAGTGGCTGATTCCAGTCTCCTAACAACCATGTCCTGCTCCCTGTTCCCAGCCCAGGCTGCCTGGGAATGCTGCACAGCACCCACTGTGTCTCTGCAGCCACGGGATGGAACAGCAGGGCCTTCCCCGTGCTCCCACTGCTGCTGCAGCTCCCTTCTCTGCCCTGTAACCCTGCTGCCATCCCTGAGCTTCCCTGCACTCACAGGCACAGCACAGGTGCCGTGGTAGGGCTGTGGGCTTGGGTGTGTGGTTCTCCTGGTGGGGAGAGGACAAGCACCCTAGAGTCTGCTCCATGACAGTGTGACTTGTAAAGGTGTGACCCCAAAAGAGCTGGTTTTCATCCAACAGCATGGCTTGGAGCTTTATGGGTGTGTTGGGCATCATCTCTGCTTTCCCATGGGCTATTCATTTCTGTCCTCCTATCTTTTAAAATTCTCATTTTCTGTTTATATTTTGCTGTCTGTGATTGCCAAACTTTTTCCTGAAGTCTGTGCCACAGGACTGGGGTTTGCAGCAGGGTTTCCCTGTCTGTGTTATAGCACCTCACATGAAGCCCTGTGTCCCTGAGATGATGCTGTCGCCTGCCCTCACCTGTCCCTTCTGCGTTTGTGTCTCTGCTCCAGGAGGATCTTGCTGAACTATGCAGTGTTTAACCCAGCCATTGGCTACTCCCAGGGCATGTCTGACCTGGTTGCCCCACTCCTGGCAGAGGTCCTGGATGAGTCCGATACCTTCTGGTGCTTTGTTGGGTTGATGCAGAACACGATCTTCATCAGCTCCCCCCGGGACGAGGACATGGAGAAGCAGCTGGTGAGGCTGAGTGCTGAGCTCCCTTCAGCCCTGGCAAGGCTTCTCCTCTCCCCAGTTCCTGGGCTGGGGGGCTCCAGCATGCCAAATCACACTCCAGAGCCACAACACCCTTGGGGTGATCCTTGGGGTTGCCATGTGCAGGGACTTTGGTGATCCTTGTGGGGCAGGATTTTCTGTGATTCTGTGGAAATACCTGGTGGGTAGAATTGATGCTGAGGCAGCTGCATCCCTCCTTCTGGTGGAATGGCAGCTGAGAGAGAAGGGCTGTGCAGCTGTGCAGCTCCCGGGGTGCTGGGGGTGCCCCAGGCAGTGCCCCAGCCCCGCTGTCCCTTGCTGTCCCTTGCAGCTGTACCTGCGGGAGCTGCTGCGGCTGATGCACCCGCGCTTCCACCAGCACCTGTGTGCCCTGGGGGAGGACGGGCTGCAGATGCTCTTCTGCCACCGCTGGATCCTGCTCTGCTTCAAGAGGGAGTTCCCCGAGGCCGAGGCGCTGCGCATGTGGGAGGCCTGCTGGGCTCACTACCAGGTGAGGCACATCCTGGCTCAGTGCTCAGCCCCGGCTCTGGGGCTGTCCACAAAGGCTCTTCACAGCAAAGCAGCCAAAACAAGTCGGGTCTGGGATTATGGCAGAGGTTGATCTGTGTAGCAGGAGGATGGAGCCCTGCTTGCCTCTCCTCCTTGGGGATGTCTGGGCTTCGCAAGGAGGTGTTTCAGGAAATGCTGAACACCCACCTCTGAAGTTCAGGCTTCTCTTACACAGCTGGGAAATGTTTTCCCAAAAATCTGCTGTGGGGTGCAAACACTGGTGCAGAGCTTGCTGCTGTGCTGTGAAGGAGCAAGGCTTTGGCTCAGCTGTGGTTCAGAAGTCCCCAGTAACTCACATTCTCAGCACTGGGCAGAACTGAAGGGAGCAAAATCTCTCACCAAGGAGCCACCTGTGGAGGGTGGGAGGTGAAGCCAGAGCTCTGCCTCCACCTGCTGTACAGCAGCCCCTGTGTTTGTTCCCGTTGCAGACAGACTATTTCCACCTCTTCATCTGCGTGGCCATCGTGGTGATTTACGGGGACGATGTCATCGAGCAGCAGCTGCCCACTGACCAGATGCTGCTGCATTTCAGCAACCTGGCCATGCACATGAACGGGGAGCTCGTACTCAGGAAGGTAAATGACCAGCTGGCAGTGACTGGGGCCATGGGGTGAGCTGTGGTGTGTGTGGCAGCCCCTGTGACCTGCCACTGTCCCCAGGGCCCTGGGTAACCCTCAGGTGTTTGGCAGGACACGCCTTTGCTGAAGGCCAGGCAGCCAAACAGGAGGATGGGGTGGGATGGGAGGCCACCCCAGCCCTGTGTGTTGGTCCCTGGTGAGGGGTGAATTTGGTGTTGGTCCTTGGTAAGGGGTGAGGGTGACTTTCCCTCTCTGTCCCTCCAGGCCAGGAGTCTGCTGTACCAGTTCCACCTGCTGCCGCGCATCCCCTGCAGCCTGCACGACCTCTGCAAGCTGTGTGGGACAGGCATGTGGGACAGCGGCTTCATCCCCGCCGTGGAGTGCTCTGGGCACCACCCAGAGTCCGAGAGCTGCCCCTACGGGGGGCTGGTGGAAGAGTCTTCTCCTGCAGCAGGAAGTGAAGGCAAGAAGGGCCTGAGGACACGGGATGTCTTTGCCTTCCGAAAATAGCGGAGAGGAACAGGGTGCGACGGAAGGGCAGGGAAGGGCAGGAAGGATGTGCACAGGGAAAATGTCAAAGAAAGAAATGGAGGAATGGCTTGTCAAGGCTCCTGAGAAGATTGGAAGGTGTGCAATGGAGGAGGAGTTCAGTTGCTCAGTAGGGAAAGTTCCGTTGCACGGGTGATGGAACCTGAGAGAAAGGCATCGACCCAGGAACTGTGTTTGGATTTGATTTTGTTAGAAACAAGCTTTTCTAGGTTTTAACAAGGAGTTTTTATTCTGCCTCTGGGACTGGACTGGTTAGCAACCAGAACTTTCTCACCTGCTGGTGAGAAATGAGAGCACTCCAGGGATCCAAGGCCACCCAGAAGTGTTGGTGGGCAGGTGGCAGGAGCAGGGCCAAGGCCACTGTCCCCTCACCCAGAGCACTCCTCTCTGCTTCAACCAAACACGCAGCTTCGTGGCTTCTTTTTAAAGCCATAAAAGCCATTTTAATTATTATCTGCCAAAAATAAAACTGCAGAGCGTTGGGATTGCAGGGCAGGTGTCTGCTTTGTCAGCAAGGAAGGACCGGTCACCTCAAAGTCTTGTCTCTGGTTTTATAGGATACACTGGCTGGCATGATTTTATTCCAGTTTTATAGAAAATGGACTGCCCCAGGTCTCAGAGCACAGCTGCTCTGAGTCAAGGTATTTCACAGACACTGCCCAAAGTTCCCTTCTCCATGAGATATTGGGAAGGAATTCTTCCCTGGGAGGGAGGTGAGGCCCTGGCACAGAGTGCCCAGAGCCTCCTGCTGCCCCTGGATCCCTGGCAGTGTCCAAGGCCAGGCTGGAATAACCTGGGATGGTGGAAGGTGTCCCTGCCATGGCAGGGGGAGCAATGGGATGAGCTTTAAGGTCCCTCCCAACCCACACCATTCTGTGATTCTCTGACATTACAGCAAAGCTGTTTCTTTATGCTGACAGCTGCAGACTTTAATACTTTGGTCTGTTGTTTCCAGTATGTTTCCCATTGTGTTTCCTTTGGCTCTCCTCAATTACTGAATATTTACTGTCCTTGCCTGTCACTGCCACAGCCCATGGCACAAACAGCCCGTGTGGGTTTTAGGCCCTTCACTCGGTGCCAGGGGTGCCGCCAGTCCCACATCCCAAAGTGAAAATGAAACTTGCCTTGTGGCACTGGTGTTTGCTGAGCTCTGTCTGACAAAGGTTTCCCTCAGGGTGTGTTTGAAAGGACAGTGTTTCTCCCCATGCCTGCTGTAAATTTTGCCAGCCAGAAGTGGAGCTGGGGCCTCAAGCCCTGTTGCCAAAGGTTCTTACCAAACCCTCCAAAGGCGTTTCCTGAGCCAGCATTTGTGCCAAACGGAGCCAGGGGAGCACTTTCCTTGTGGGGGTGGCAAAGGAGCTGAGGTGGCAGTGGGCTGTGCCTCCCTGCATCCCTGTGCAGGCCTTGTGCATCCTCTGCATCCCTC